CAGGGATGATTAATTCTCCCGGCCGGGGTGGAAAAGCGGGCGGACCCTTTGGAACTCGGTTGTAGCGGCCGTCTTCCAACCCCCCGTTCCGTTCCGACCACCTCTCACCTCTCGTCCCCCTTCGACCCTCTTACCGCCGCGCACACTTTCTCGTTTCGTTTGTTCTCCGGCCGTGTCATTCGTTATTACATCGTAGAAACTCGCGGATATTTGGAATTCCGAGTGACGTCTAAAGGTCTCACCCTCTCTCCCGTTCCGGTTGCTTTTAACCCAGCGTCTTACCGTCTTTCGCGGGTTCTTTGTCCGTCCCGACTTTTTCTTCAACCCCTTACCGTTTCTTTCGCTTATTACTACTTCTTGGTTGTTCTTGTATGTAGATCTCGTTCCCTCTTTCTCTCAAATTATTATTTTTCATATTGTCGTTCGAGACTAAAAATATCCCTTCGATGCATTTTTTTCGATGTCAGTCTTGCGTGAAACTGAAATGTATTTCCCATCGGTGGTGAAGGATTTTTTCCTCGCATCTGTAGAGAAGAGTCTCTCCTGTCTCGCGAACAGAAGAGAGAGAGAGACTGCTCGCGATATCGCAGCTATATTTGCATAAGGCTATCGTCTTCCCTTTGTTGCTGGTTCGCCTCCCACGTACGTGGCGAGGCTGTCACTCAGTCAGCTCTCTCGGTCTCCACTCCGCTCGGCCTTCGGTCACATCAGCCGCGGATCAAGCCTACTCTCCGTCTCCTCTCGTCCCTCTGCCACCGTCACCGCTTTCGTTCGATTTCAAACCTCCCCGCAGATACACCCTGTCTTCGCTACCTTGCCCGCATTCCTGCATACAATTACACGGGGCTGCGCTTATGCATTTCGTGCGTAACGCTCGGCACTCGCTTCGCTTTCGAGAAACGTATCCGACCGTATTCTGTGTCGATCTCTGAGCTCGAAGTCTCCCGGAAAGCGAAGACCTCGATTTGAATTGAATCAACCACGGCCTTTTGTTAATAGCAAAACGGATAGCGAGAACTGGGAAACGATCTCCTCGCACATCTTCTTGACAGATAAGCGTATCTTAAATATCGACTTCATTTTATTTAATTTTTAAACGACACCAGCTACGCGTTGATTGCGACACGGCTTCTCGGTGGTCTCGCATAATATTAAAATTTACAAATAAATGCAACCGTGATGTCACGGTGTGCCTGCGCCTCGCGATCACTATCTCTCGCGTTCGCCAAATTGGGTAACTCGGTCAAACGACGCGACGTCGAACTTCGCGAGGATTTACATACAAATTGAAGTCTTATGCGCGCGACGAGCCATCGATCTCGCGAATATGGTAATCACCCTGACGCGACTCTCGGCCATCGATGAGTCTGGAAAACTTGCTCGACAAATTGAAATCGTTCTCGCGCCTCTGCTTCGATCAGTTCGGATCACGTAATTCGTAAATGAAACTTACAATTAATGGTGTTTAATACGACAAATCTGATAGAACGATATTCCTTGATTTTTAAGTAGTAAAGTCGATGATATATCCGGCAAGGAATAAAACGCTTCTCTCTTTCCTACTTGAAGAATTCCAAGCATCGACTTGGAACATTCTACAAGAGAATACTTTCGAACTTCTCGACCAGCGATCGATGAAGGTCGCAGCGTTCGATTTTCATTTACGGATTTTTACGAAAAGCCGTACTGAGATGTCGAGACAAGGATCTGCGAACGATATGGTCGGACAGGTTCCCTCGGACATTTCGAGTCTCGCTTTCGGGTCGTTCAACCTCGACATGGAAACGATTCCATTCCGACAAGAAATCGACGCGATCTTCTACCATAACTCGTGTTCGCGATGAAGTTTCGCTCTCTATGAAGAGTCGCAAGAAATTTTTGTTGCAAACTTTACGCGGTCGATATAAATCGGGCTTTGGAGCCGCGCCGCGCCTGGTGTCCGTCGTTCGAAGGGAATGGACCGGAGGAACGAAACGGAGATAGAAAGAGCGAGAGATAGGTGGGGGTCCGGGAGGCCGCATTAATAAAACATTAAGGTTTTGTAGACGATGTATCGATGTAGTGTTTATATTATCTTCTTTGATGTCGACATGTGAATTGGACAGATTTGTTATTCAGACTCCGTACATAAAAGTGGTGAAGTCTTGCTCCGGTCCGTTTGCGGACAGGGGTCCGGTACGGACGGTGAAACGGACGAACAAACGGACAGACGGACGGGTCCCGAAGAGGAGAGTCTTCTCTTTTCTCGGTCCCCGCGTCGGCTGTCAGTCAGCGGAGCGACCGTTGATGGAAGGAGAAAGGGCCCGAGAGAGGCCTGGCCTTCCTGCTGCTCCTCTATCGCGGAAAAACTCACGCTGGCTCGCCGCGTCGCGCACCAATCGAGTTATCCGACTTTTCCAAACGCGGATCATCTTTGGCGGCGTCTTAGCGGGAGTGTCCGTTAATGGCTTTCCGTCTCGAGGTTTTGCGGGGAATAGAAATCTCGCTGCGAGTCCGATCTTGTCGCATTTAATCCTACTTACGATTCGGTGAAACCTTCGATACGGTAAATCTATTCCCGGATTTTCATAGCTCGTTTTTTCGAACTACTGACGGTAACAATAAGGCGCAGCGATTTCGTGCGTAAATACGATGAGCCTATCGGGACGATAACTCGGTAAACGTACATCGCACGAATCTTTATTGCCGAGGAACGCGCAGTATCGAAACTCGTGGTCCCTCTCGAGCGAGCTCTCCCGCCGTGTCCCCTCTTTCGAACTCGGCACCGTGATCCCGAACCTTGACTCTTCATTAATCACCGAGCCGGTATCAATGACTGACTGAGTGACTGACGCCAGCCCGAGAAGGTATTATACTCGTATACCTACGCTCTGTTCGCGCTTCGAGTTTTCCACGAGACCGAGCAGACCTCGTCAATTTTTCCTTTATAAAAGAAAACGGTACGAGTGAAAATTTGCAAAGGTTCACTTATATATTTTTTATGATCTCGTATTTTGCAATTGCGATCGGTTACGAAAGACGAATCGTAAAAAGGGAAAAAATCAATAATTCGGCGGAGCGGCGCGGCGCCACGGCTCTCTCACCCTTCGCTTCGTACGGTCTATCGTTACGATCTGAACAAGGAAAGTCACGGTCGTCGGCTGTGAACGCGGTGTTCATCCCGAGGAATCGAAAGCCGCGCGGTCATCGTCGGTAGCGCGGGGGGAAGGAGGAAAAAGGAGGAGGACAGCGTGGTACGCCGGTACCGGCACCGGTTGATCGTGACTTGCGTCCGGCCCTCTTGTCTTCTGTTGTACCGTTGTTACACGACTCCTGTCCGTTTCGGTAGTTTTCGAGGGTGCTAGGCTGCTTTATCACGCGCGACCTCCCGCTGTTGTCACGCGATCTTATCGCGCCACGCCGCGTCGAGCCGAGCTGAGCGGATTCGTCTTCGGAAGCCACGCACGATCCCGGATCGCTTTCCAATCGAATCGTGGGTCGTTTCTTTTTACATCAGCTACTCCTTTATTTCTTACCATTAATTTCAACCGATTTCTGGGCCCGATGGATGAAATCTAATAAACGGGAGGTAAGGGAATCGAGTCGGGAGTCGAATTGACAGGGATTAAAGCGTGCGAGAGATCGGGTATCGCACGCGAGCACGGGATAATCGGAGCGATCTCTTATTAACCGAACGGCAATTATTCCACGCGGGTTGCCGCTCGTTATCTTTCAATGCACTCGCGCCAATTACTATTTTCCGATGCGGCGAAAATATAATAAGCCGCGGATCGATATCAGTAATTACGGATAATGCGCGATCGAAATTGAAGAGCCGCGAGGAAGAACGCGAAGCGTGGCCAATTAGAGAACCGATGCGCGATGTCCAAACGGTGTTGTATATGTAAAAGGAAAGTGAAACGCGCGGGCGAGCTTTGATAACCTTTGAGTCTGGGGCATCGGTCGATCTTTCGATTCTTCGTTGGACGTTATCGCCGTGTTGGAATTTCATCAACGGCGAGACGGCGCGCGGAGGTGCCCTCGGCTGCATTCATATTTTTAATTGTAAACATAACAATTATCATTTTACGAGCTGGATGCAATTAACACGACTTTTATGTGCGTCGCCTCGTGTTATTCCACCGATAAACCGGCATTTCACGATCACCGTTATCAGTGAAAAACGAGTGGTACCTTATCGCCGAAGTGCGCATTATTTATTACTGCCGACGAGAAAGTACTTATCCTTATTGCTTCGCGTATTTCAACAACAATTTACGCGACGACTTCGAAAGTGCGCGTGATGGGGAAATAATTGGCAGCGTCTCTCTTTTCCTCGAGCCTTGAACAAATTCCTTGAAACTTAGGAGATAGTCGTAGGACAATTAAAAATAGTGCTGTCGTTCGACGCGATAAGCGTCGCCGGTCGATCACGCATTTTTCAACCGTAGAAATTACTTTCGGTGCTAGTAATAAATCAACTTTCCTCCGAATAAAGGTAATGAGTGAGCAGACCCGTAATTCTGTACGTCATACCATTTAATAATTACAATTTAAATTATATAATTATGCGACCTTACGCGTACGGTGCTCTAGGTTTACGTAGATTGTAGTAAGTAGGTATTTTTTTTTTAGTTTAGACTATTACGTATATTACATGGAATGAAGTAACATTTGAGTTTGACGCTACACGAACGTAATACTTGAGCTTAATTTAAAAAGTTGGAGAACGCATCTTTCGCACCTGACGAGTAAATAGGCTCTCGTTTTCTCTCGTATACTCGCTTCCTCGCAAAATTGACCACTTCGGAATTGAATCACATTCGCATCCTCGACCATACGATTTCAGCGCCGCGCGTGCAGCGGACGCTTCGAAGACGATCAAAATTCTTGAACGAAAATTCAACGAAGACACCGAGGAGAAAGGCATACGATCCACCGATGCGTGTCGCATCCTTCGTTTCCCTCGAAGAGCGCAGAAAACAATATCGAACTCTGCATTCATAGGTACGGAAAATAATAATAATAATAATAATATTAATAATAATAATAACGAAACAAATAAAAAAAAATACAATATTAACACTGGACCAAGTCGTTAGCAACGGTACTCACTCTCGATAGAATAATAGCAATAATATCAATAATTCTCGAATAATCATCGTAATGATATTAATAATAATTATTATAATTAGAGTCATCACTATATTCGCTTCATTTAAATATCCTTAGTGCGGATTACCAGGCGATAACGAAGGAAAGTCTAACCGCGAACGAACATAGGAAATTTGCATCCGCGCCGGATCTATCACATCGCCAACAATAAAATTACATTCCACGAAGCGCGGATTCGTTCTCTTTTCTACCACGTATTTTTTAAATCCGTTATCGAGTGCGAAAGAATTCGAGGAATCGGCTCGTTCGTTAACGCCTCGTACCGATAATAACGTTGTTCAATAATCGTGTTGCAATATATTCAATAGCTATGTACAATTCAACGTTATAGCTTATGCGTTTGCGTCTCCCTTTCCATTACGTTTGCGACTATTTCTCTCTCTCTCTCTTTCTTTCTTTCTTTCTCTCTCTCTCTCTCACACTCCGAATATAGATAATTAAACATATACATATATATATATTTCTTTTTTTAGATCCCTGTATTCTTCCGAATTTGCTTCGCGTAAAAGTTGCGCGGTGCACGAACATGTTTACTAAGCACGGAACGATTGCTAACTGTCGCTTGTTTCTCCACGCTTTCTTCTTCCGCCTCGTATCACAAGATAAACCAATTAGCTCGCGTCGCACCAGCGAACACAATATCTAAAATTCATTTATACACACCTGCCGTTTCTCGTTCGATTAGGTTCGGCTAAGAGGGATCCTCCCGTTCCTTCTTCTTCTCCTCCACCTCAGGACAGCTGCGCTAACCCGTTCGATGCGCAGTCGCGAGTACGAGATCGCCGTCAAATTGATCGCGAATTCGTTTCAACGAGTAATCTTTGCGGAAAATTGATTTTGCGACAGGACTATTGATTCTCGTATACACGTAGTCTAAAATTTAGCTGCCACAGGGGACGCGAGTCGCGTTATTTTATTTACATTTACAGAGCTGCCCAGTGTCGTACCGAGAATTCGTGCAACAGCCTCTTATTTTCTACAAAGCGCTCGTAACGCGCATCGTTCCGATTTGATCGATTGAACGGACGTCGAAGAATGCCGCGGCAGCTCTCATCGACGAAAAACAGCGGAGAGAGAGAACAGGAGTATTCGATAGGCACCCTTACGTACTACGAAGTTAGAGACTTTAACGTCCACACAGAAACTGCGCGGTACGCCGATGCGATGGAGGCTGCGTGTTCTCCCATCGACGAGCACGCCCTCGATGCACGAGAGCGGAACAGGAGAAAGAGAAAGAGGAAGAGAAAGAGGAAGTGGAAGAAGATGAAACGAGAAGTTAAGCGAGCAAGTAAGTAAGTACATACATACATCGACGCATTCTCCGCTGTTCGTTTTCCATTCTCGTTCGGAACGGGATTACAGGGGAGGGTAGATGGAGTTCGGATAGATTCAGAGATGCGAAAACTGTGCGCAGCCAGGCAAGATAATTAATTAATTAGTCCGCTCAATTAATTAATCACTTAGACCGCTAATTTCTACGACTTAAAAATTACTGATTCGGTTTTTATCTCACCCGCTGAGGTGGTCTCTCGTCCGCGTTCATCACCCTAGTGCGTTCGGGATCATTCGGTAATATTTTATGCGGCGAGAGCCCCTCGGAGCGCGTCCAGTCCATTTGAATCGCGGGCGCACGGCGTTGCGCAGTTGCAGAAAATTTTTCGTTCGGCTTCCCTTCAACTTCGAACAGTTCTGTGTCGCGACGACGGAGTTATCCTCGCAGTGGTCACAGGTGCCAACCCACCGAAAGTAAAAAAAGAATTTTTAATACGTCTCGTTTTTGAAACGGAATAAAAAGTTCAAATAATTACAAAATACTTGTAAGATTTAAAGCGAGAAACGTGGGGCACACTATTCATGCATCAATTATCTATTGCATGCGCCTCACGTTTCTCGTTTTAAATCTTACAATTTTGTAATTATTTTGTACTTGTTACTCCGTTTTAAAAACGTGGTGTATTAAATTTTTTCATTTAAATAATTATTTTCTCCTTTTTAGTCTTTAGCTCATCGGGAAGTTACTTTAAAATCAATTGCAAAATTTGTAACGAGCAGACAGATAAGAAAGCAAGCTAATAAAAATGTAAAACGAATAACTCATAGAACGTACGTCAATTTTTATGTAACGAAAAACGAATTCAATCCCCCTAAAATCGTACTAGTTTCTATCAAAGTCGAACGATAGTGAAACCCCAAAAAATCGTCCGCTCGTTCGTTACGTTCTGTACGACGCCAGCAAAAAGGCAACGGAGTTAGCGAAACGCGGGTAGAAAAACCGAGTGCGTAGGGAGAAAAGGAGAGGAAAATTCCGGTTGACGAGTAACGATCGGTGGGCCTGTGTCGGAGACCCTCGCGTCTCGAGGTCTCGCCACATGTTTCTTCACTGCGAGCGAAGTTGGTTCCCGTGGCCCGGTCGCGGTTCGACTTGGTCGCGTTCCACCGTAGTGGAACACGTCGGCCGACGAGAAGGCCGCGGCCACGGGTCGGTTCGAACAAAAAAGCCTTTTTAGAAGTTCTGCTCGCCGTACATCCCGGGGAACCGGACAGCGTGTGCTCCGAGCTCGGCGGGCGAGAACTCGTCCTATGTGGCCAAGTGCGCGAACTGGCCTGGGTGTGGCGCGAATTGGTAAGGGTGGCCGTACGGCGACATATGGTACGGTACGATGTTCATGCTCGCCATCTTGTGCTCCTTTTTCCACTTCATCCGCCGATTCTGGAACCAGATCTTGATCTGACGTTCCGTTAAGCAGAGTGCGTGCGCGATCTCGATGCGACGCCGCCTCGTCAGGTACCGATTGAAGTGGAACTCTTTCTCCAGCTCCAGAGTCTGATACCTGGTGTACGACGTCCTCTGCCGCTTCGTCTCTCCGTTCGCGTTCACCGTACCTGAACAGAGAACGCAACAATATATTCTCTAAATCTCACGTGCACGTTTGTTCAGTAACATTTTATGGAAAATGAAATCGCGACATGAACGATCGAACTTATTGTGCGTCGAAAGGTTATGAATCGAAGAAGGTGGATGATAATAGCTAGTCCCGAACGCGTAACGCTTCACGGGTTCTCGTTAATTATTTCAACGAGCCGTTTAACGCATCGACCATCATCGTGCTACCGTATCGCCACGCTGGTCAACTTGGCAGCTGTTTTACCTATTTGCTCAGCGCACGCCCGAGCCATAAATAATTTTGCAACGCCGTTATTACGATACTCCGCCTATTACACCTATCGTTGCAAAAGCGACCGAGCCGGCTGGCTATCCCACTAATAAATGAATAGCATCGAGCGTCGGTAGAAACCTTCGAGGTCGATTCTAAATACCAATAACCTGTTAGCCGTGGTTTTCCAGCCGCTCAATTGCCAGTTACGCTGCTAAACCCAGCCGGTTCATCCAGTAACGCCTCGATATTCCAATTACTCTGACCCGTTCTCTTTCTTCGAGCCCTCCTTTTCCAAACCGATTCGTAAAATGATAATCGGCTACTGTGCCGTACCAACGAGCTTCCCGATGCGATATTGTTACGTACAAACGATGGAGAGAAATGATTACACGGCGAATGGAAAGTGTTCTGAATATTTTTATTTCTCGCTGCGAGACGTCGATTTCGAATCGAGCAGGTGCAGATCGAAGAAGCGCTATCCCATTACGTAGTGGTCATAGATCCGTGTCAATGCGGATATTAAAGAGTCGGCTCATTTACAGCAATAATGAGGGGACTATTAATAGCGCGCGAGGGAGAACTGAGAGATTGCTCACGGCTGCTGCCCGTGGTCACCAGTGCGAAAAAACTGGCTTTCCAACCATTGTACTGTGAGAAAATACTTTGACCCAGAATAGCGTCGCTTGCAAAAAATTTATTTGCATTTTCATTTACAAAATAGAATGAGAGTTTTAATAAGCCAGCGGTATAATAGCGTTCATAGCTTCTGCGCGCAACCTACAAATCTTAGGCTTCCGTCATTTAAAAATCCATTACCGAACCGATTGTGGGACGCAACAATAATCTTTTTACAGACGAGCGTAAGCTCATCCACTTGAGAGCTTTCGGGAAGCTTTCCAGCGAAGCTTAACGACCGGGGACCCTTCGTTATCGCTTTCCTCGCGATGTAACACGTCGCCGTGACTTTTTAATAAATAGTCAGCCCCTGTCCCTCTCTGGTTGGGGGTATCGTTTGACCATCACCGTTTAGCGAACGGACCAACGGAATTCCTTTTTCTGGTTCTGCTCATTATTATACGATGGTCCAACGCGCGAAACTATAAAAGCTGGCACGCGTACCCGAACGGGACACCACCGGGGGATCGTTGCCGTGCGGATCCTCGATCCTTTCCCAGTGATTAATTGCCGACGGCGTCCCGGTGACGTCGATGCAACCCTATGACGCGCCGCGGAGACAATCCGCTTCGCTGATCCGCTTGCACGCTCCTCGGGCGGTACACGCGCTTCATTCTCGATCATTGACGTTACATTCATTTACTTAAACTACTTAGAATTTTCACCTACGTGCTTTCCGTTATCTTTGATTTCGTGATGTCCAGATTCCTTTGTTATATACCTGAAGTAAAAATATGAGTCAATGGCAAAGCATCTAGAGAATGGGTATTATTGATGGGAGATCTTGAAATTAAATGCGGGGGTGGATCGAAGGTGCCTGAAAGTAGCCCGTTGATTCGATGAGATTCGTGAAACGATAACGAGGACATTCAACATCGACCAGTGATTAGCCCTTATTCGAAAACTATCAATCTGCTCGCAGATGAGCCCTCGTAGCTGCTACGTAAATCAACGCCTACTATATTTACAAAGTACAATTAGAATTGAAATCAAAGTTGCCATGTTTTGACAACGATTCATGAAGTTCGTGTCGACACGCTCATCGTTTGAAAGTATTGGCCTTCGTCGCATTGTTCGATCTGTGAAAAATCACGGCAAGCTCGTAACGAGTGCAGCTACTGCAAAAAGTCTAACGTCGTACGAAAAAAGGGAAATCGTGGTAAACACGGATCAAACTATTAGCCGCGAGGAGCTTCGAGCGTGGGTCTGTCATCGAGAGGAAGAACATCGGGCCGGTTTTTCTAAATCCAACGGGGCAACGATGATTAATGGGGTTCGGCTCGGCGCGCCGCGGCGCGGCGTTTCGTCGTCGCGTCCGCGTCGGTCGGGTCCGTGAAAGAATACCACGACGAGGCATTCGCAACAACAAAGCGCGGGGCGCGCGCTCGTCTTTTGAATAATATAATCCGTGAATGCGTACGGATTCGTGTGTTGCGTTCGAACCGCGGGGTTCGTTCAACCGGCGAACAAAGCTCGCAGGATAATGATCCATTATCAGCCCGTTGGTGATAAAGATACGCGCGAGAATCCACCGTGACCGGAATACGAAACGGGGCCCGAAACCTTCCTTCCTTTTTTTTCGTCTCTCTCTTTCTCGTTCCCCGGGGGCGACGCGATGATTAATCGTTCGGTCGCGTCCGCGTCTTGTCAACGTCGATGCACCGGTTTTCTGCAATGAAAGAATGCGGGTCCCGGTGAAAGTTGACGACCGTTGTTCTTTTCAGCGTGGAAAACGAATGTAATATTGCCTGAACAGTGTTCGCTTCCATCGCGGCTCGGTTCAGTTTTGATTCGGTTGGAAAATCACTGACCCGATGCTCCATTCATAGGCTAATTCTAAACGTATCAATTTATAGTTACATTCTCAACTGAAGAATCTGTTACACAACGTCTCTGGAGAAACGACGAACACCTTTCATTTACCACTTAACACCCTTCTCTGTTCTAAAATACACTTCACCTAAATCATTTTATTCCACGACAAAACCGACAAGGAAGACCAAGAATAGATCTGACGTCTCGTACATAAAAATAACCTAGGAAATTGACTCGTACAAATTTTAAGGATAATCGAATGGGTGTGGGCGTGCCGATCGGGTTTCCCTCTTGCGAGAAAGAATAAATCTGCCATTTTATGAAAGCAGTCGGTTCAACGAACAGCGTGCAATTAACGACACGCGTGGCCCGTGCGAGTTTTTTTTCCCATTTCCCGTTCGCCGCGAGTAATTAGAGAAAAACTGGCTCGCGCGAATCGCACCGTAACAACGTTCCATTAAAGTGTTTGTATCGAGGCTCTGGTTTGCTGTTAGCGATTCGACTTCGAGATGAGATCCCGCGCGATGGATACGCTAGAAAAAAACGAATTCGCGCTAACTACCGTCGATCAATCTCCTCCATGCGATTACTTTCGCTTTGAATAGTGCGGCAAGTTATGCTCTTTTACATAGTTCCTTATCTTTCCCTCGGTCATTTCTTTTTTAGGAAAGCATACTAAAGACGCTTCTTATACGATATCAAGCTTTTGCATTTAACCAATAATTCCTTTAGCAATAGCTTTTATTTAAAAGTTTAAATTCGAGCTTAGTAAGTAACAGGTGTTTTACGTCCTCTAGTTTTATTCTGTATCGCTTGAAATGGATCAGGATGGTAATTTTAATTGCACCTTGCGTTTCGGTAAGTCGTTGCACATCGAGCGCGTTGCGATAAAATATACGGACTGTCAACGGTGTGTGCTTTACCATCCGCGGCAGCTGTGAGCAATCACTTATCCGTTACTTTATGCATTCGCAGTGTTTAGCGTAAACAATCATGAGACTTGTAATAAGAAAACACTGTTACAGATGTGACATCCGATACCTCTCTTCTACGCGTGTCCAATAAATAATAATAATAACAAGAATCTGTTTTTTCTGTCTTCTGCATCTCGGCAAATAGAAATTGTCTAGCCTAATAATAATTTCTCAACAAAATGGAGAGCGTGTCGCACGGTAAAAAATGTTTCACGTCCAACGCGAAGGGCTGGGACGGAAGGAGGGGAGAAGAAAGAAAGACAGGGTCAACGAGTCGCATAGCTGTCATTGGTGTTAAGACCAACGATGTAGAATGAAAGACTGCTCGCTAAGCACAGGCCCGTGTCGTGTCAGCCGTTTCGGTGTCACCTCGCGTCGTCGACGAACGTTTTCGGGGCTCGGCTCTTAATAGAAACCGTGGTCCCGCTCCGCGCGTATTCGCGCCGAACCACGGGGCGAGTGTGTGTACCGAACGTGTCACCGTTCTCCCGTAGATCGTTTCTGACCGGGTTGACTGACAGACCGGCTGCCCGCGTCTGACTACGCGCGCACGTCAACGCAACGGGACAACCTCCGCTCCGAAGTCCGCCGCGCGATCGGTTTTCCTGTCGTTCCTCTCGGTCACCGAGACACGGAGATCGATACCCGAATCCAGCGGGGTGTAGCGAGTAATAGAAACTTTCGAGAATTCGATTTCTCGTTTCGTGTTTAGAGATAAAAATCCGTGACGAAAGATGTTTCCTACGTTACAGATCTCGATTACGGTGTCGGAGTAAATAATATTTAGAGAACGGAATTGCCTTCGTAAATCCTGGCCAGCTATTATGTTTCTAAATCGGTTTCCATCATCCGAAAAGTACGGTAGCTTAGCTAGATCAAACGAAGGGTCATCCAGTGTAATTCAGATATCCGCACAATGGGAGGCAGGTGGGATTATCTCTGTGAACGTGCAATTAATGGCGTCAGCGTTCGTCGCTATCGGCCTCCGAGCAACGAGCGACTGGCCGAATCGCGCGTGAGTAGAATTGCTCGATTAAGCGTCGCTGCTCCGGAATCGTGGCACGAAACGACCGCCTGTCGCATTCCTACGACCGCTCTGCGCGAGTCTGATCCTCTACGAATGTATATTTAGAGTCTCGCCACCGGCTTAACTCCGCCGCCACGTGGATCTACGACTTGTTGTTTAATAGGATTTAGCATCCTTTGTTTTTGTCCATTAATCGTAATTTCAAAGAAATCTGTACCCTCCTATCAGTTCGTT